TCTACAATTCGACAAAGTCAGAAAACTTCGGGACTATGTAAGCAACAACTTCTTTAAACAATTTCCAAAGACCAACATACTATCAAGTTTTCCCAATTTGGTCTCAAGGAAAGAGTGGATTTAGCATCCACAAAAATTGACACTGCTAGTGATAACATGTTTATAATGGCCGATTACCAACTCTAAATCTTGCGGTATGTCAAGGATCTAACCATTGCAGTCAACAAACTCTTGAAGCCCTCCGATCCATCTACTGATGATGCCAAAAAGAGGGAAACGAGGAACAAGAAAGATGATAATGATGAAAACGAAAGAAGAGGGGAATGAGGTCTTGAAAGCAGACAAGGCGAAAGGAAACAAGATCATAGAAGTAATGCAAGAACGCAGAAGTCCACACCTCCACCTGTCCCCAAGTCAAGTCACCCTCCTCCTTCCAGATCTCGACAAAATTCCTTAAGGCCTCGACAATCCTATGGATCCAAATCTGCCTATTCATTTGTAGGACGAACTCTGAGAGAGAAGAAGAACCTTCGTCAAAGGTTGATGATGGACAAAATTATGACAATGGATGGCTCAGGAAATTTTCTTCAGTACAAGGAATATGAGGAAGGAAGCGGAAAAAGGTTTGAAGGATGCAACTTGCCTATATGGCTGATGAAGAAAGACAATGTAACAAGACAGGAGTTCCAAAGAAAGAAGAATGATGAAATAAAGAGAGCAAATGAAAAACTTTGGCTCGAACAAGAAGAAGATAAAAAACAGAGAGAACAAGACCTCATTCGCATTCAAGAAATAGAAGAGAAAATAAGGGATGTTTCCTCAGTTGAAAAAGATGTTGATCCAAGCGCCAAATAAAATGTTGTGTTCAAGATACATGAAGAATCAGGCAAAAGCTATATGGAGGGAATGAACTCTATTGAGCTCGTGTCATAGTGGAATCTCGGCATTGTACCAGGTTGAAACATCTTAGAAGCCTACAACAATTACATGAGCTACAACCTGACGGAGAAATACGCCAAGTTAGCTCAAGCCAATCCAGTCCAAACATTCAAAAACTTAATCAACAATGATCTGGATTTCAAGAAATTGCTCAAGGAACAAAAGGAACGTGATGACAAAAAACGAGAGGAAGCATGTCAGATGAAACTGAAACTTTTGAACATGTAATATCTTTTAATTTCATTATCTCTTTTGTAATGTGCTTGATCAGAATGAAAATCCATATATTTTTGTTATCTGTGTTGAATACATTTTTAGTGTTGTTAAAGCTTCTTAGAACTTCATGTAAACTCAACTATTTGGTTGTTTTGTAATAAAAATTCTTTTAAAGGATATCCTTCGGCCTGATAGCAAGAGTATAGGTTTTGACATCATCAAAAAGGGGGAAATTGTTAGGAACAAGTGTAATTAGACTTTGATGATACCAAACTTGCTAGGATTGTAGACCCCTATTTTCATTTTTCTTTAGAACTTTCGTTGCAAACGAAAGCCATTGTAACTCAACGAATGATTCGCACTATGCAATACACGAATCTTGATTGAGGTTAGTAGGATAGGTCTACTTGAAGACATGAAGACAAAGAGAAAGACTAGAGATCAACTCAAACCGAAAGATGGAAGGGTCTAACTCTCGGACAATCATCAAATAACAAGGAAGATCATTCTTCTAAAAGAAAGGACGAAAGATAAAGTCTATCCTTCAAAGTAACCTTTTAGAGACAACAAGTCTAAGTTAGATTTGTAAAGACAACTTTTATTAAGTGAAGCAAGAAGAATGCTGTCTATGTCTCTCAGCTGGGCAATCATCATAGACAAAAGGTGTCTTAGGAATGATATTCACAAAAACCAATGAGCATTAAATGATTGGTACCATCTTGTCATTAGAAAGGACAAAAAGTCACGGTGCTTTCTATCATCAACGGCTACATAGTACCGCCAAATTAAATGTTATATGCCCACTGGTTATTACCCACTGGTTATAGGTTCGAAATATGATCTCCCCCCAACGGATGAATTTCTCCTCACCTATAAATACCTCTCTTCACCATTGAATAAGGTGCTGATTGTTCAACAGATTTTATCCTTTGAAAAGCTCCTTAAACAAGCTCATTCATAAGCTTTTCATAATCAGCGTGGTACATTTGTGAAGTCTTCAAAGAGATTCATCCTACATCTACACTTCACAAACTTGAAGAAGTCTTGCATCTTTTCTCACGTGAAGATTCATCCAGTTAACAAGACAAGACTTCAACATGTTGGAGAAACTCAACATCATGATTCCAACACTCAACTCTGAGGAAGAATTTGATAGAGGCGGAGTAAACTCGAGGAGTTGAAAAACCAACTAAGTGGCTATCCGGCTTAGTGATCAAGGAAGCTAGCTCGAAGTAGTTTGTACTAGGAGTGATAGTGCAAACCCTTTCACAAGTTGTAAAAGAAGAGTGGAGTAGGCTTTGTTAATAGCCGAACCACTATAAAAATCTCTCTCTCTATCTCTCTTTACTTTCGGTTGATTATCTTTCGTGCATTGCATTTCACACTGACCCAACGATAATTCTCAATAACAAAAATGTGCAAAGTTCAAATTAAAAACAAACAAGTTATTTCGTTGTGCATCACTCCAAAAGGAGTTGCTTTGAAAAATCGAGTAGAATTTATTCACCCCCCCCCCCCCTAAACTCACCTTCCGACCCTACCGGGACCAACACACTTAACACCAAAACTAACAGAGGACCATTTTGACTTAAAATTCAATAGCCAGAGGACCACTTTAGGTGCAATTAAAAGTCAATGAACCAATTTAAAAAAATTTCATAGTCAGAGGACCATTTTGGGAATTAACTCTATGTAAAATCAATGGTCAATCTCAACAAGGCAATGTTTATAACCCAATAAAATAACTAAGCAATTTGTGAACTAAAGATGTGAATATAACTACTAAATATATTACAAGGAATAAGGTTGAGAATGAATAAGTAGAAGAGCGATCATTATTCTGTGGAACGTGGTTCACACATTTGTGTAAATTATAAATAAAAAAAATACATTTTTAATATACTAAAAGTATATTATTTGTACACATAAAATACATTATCTGAAAATATATGATTTCTTATATACTATCAAATAATACACATTCAGTACAAAATGTACTTTTAGTATATTAAAAATATATATTGCATTCATGGCCCACACAACTATGTGAACTATGGTCCACACAATAATTTGTCGTAGAAGAACGCATGCAAGTAATGTAATTAAGTTGTTACTTGCACTCCAAAGTTTGATTTATTTATAAAAATACCATAATATTTTTTGAAATTGCTTTTGATCTATATATTGATCTTTCTAGATAGACGGCTTAGCTCATAGTTCTTTCCTAGATAGGCTATATATATATATATATATATATATATATATATATATATATATATATATATATATATATATATATATATATATATATATAAATTTTTTTTTTAAGTTCTCGTGCAGCTGAATGCTTCCCGTGCGGTTGTGCAGGTGATTAATGTGCGTGAGTTTTGTAGTTAATGTGCGTGAGTCTTGTGCTTAAGGTGCGTGAGGTTTGTGCTTAATGTGCGTGAATGTGTAGTGCTTAATGTGCGTGAGTTTTGTACTTAAGGTGCGTGAGTCTTGTGCCTAAGGTGCGTGAGTTGTGTGCTTAATGTGCGTGAGTATGTACTTTAATGTAAGTTGTTGTTGAAACTTTAAAGTGCATGAGTTTTGTGCTTAATGTGCCTGAGTTTTGTGTTTAAGGTGCGTGAGTTTTGTACTTAATATGCGTGAGTGTGTACTTAATATGAGTTGTTGTTAAAACTTAAGGTTCGTGTGTTTTTGTCCTTAAGGTGCGTGAGTTTTGTGCTTAAGGTGCGTGAGGGTTGTGCTTAAAATGCGTGAGTTTTGTGCTTAAGGTGGGTGAGTTTGTGTTCCGAATGTATTTTGTTTGTGTGTTTAATGTACGTCTGTTGTTTACTTAAAATGCGCCAGTGTAATGCTTAATGTGAATCCACCTGCACAACCGCACGGGAAGCATCACCCGCACCTGAACCATTCCATATATATATATATATATATATATATATATATATATATATATATGAAAGATTCAAGGGAGAAAACCTCCCAATTAGATCTACTAGATGGACAATCCATATTTGTCTACGTACAGTTCTCACAAGGATTGTCCATCTGGTAGATCTTTCCAGAGGTGTTCACCCACGTATTTGTAAAAATAAGATATCAAATTTTTAGAAAAATATGGTGTTATTTTCGTAATTATTGTTATGTACTTGTGCATTTTAGAACACTATATTATGCATTATGTGAGACTGTGACAAATAAATATGTATTCATGGATAGCTTTTTAAAGCTTGCATGGACAGCTCAACTGGTCATAGAGGTGAAAGTTGGAAAGAATGACCAGGGATCAAGTCTCACAGTTAATTTACATCTTTTGAAAGGCTACTCCGTACATTTTAAATCTAAAGTACAAATAAAACTAAAAAACAATCTTTATGAGTACAAAACCTAAATTTAAACTAAAAAACAATCTTTATGAGTACAAAACCTAAATTTAATGCAATACACTTTCACATTTTTACGTGTGCAATCTTTTAATATTAAATACATTATATGTTAATACTAAATATACATCATTGCAGGCTTATGTATAATTAACAAGCAATATTGGTAAAACGAATTACTACCATCGCATTTTATATTATATTTATTTATGTTTGATAGATGACAGTACGTACAAGTAGGAAATTCTTCCAAGCCACTTGTTGACGACAGAGTTGCATAGGGACGTGGAATGCATGCATGAGGAAGTTTCCAGTGTGTTTTACTAGTCAACCTCTACGTGTTCATGCGGTTTCACGTTTTTACTATCTTTTCCTTAATTTCGTCAGCATGCATGCGTGTATTTATATTGTGTGATGCTTAGTTAAGGTGAATGAGAAGTATTAGTTGTTTGTTCCAATCCTAAGAGCTTCTCTGATTTTCTTTTCTCCTTCCTTCAATTCGTAGTCCTCTTGGAGTTGTACGTATCAAGAGAAAGTAACCATGGCATGGGTTTGGACAACGCTTGCTGTGTTTGCTGCAGCTTTGTCTCTCATTCATGGTCTTTTAATGAAGACGAAAGCCAAGAAACTACTGCCACCAGGTCCAAGAGGGCTTCCCATTTTGGGACACCTTCACTTGCTTGGTAAAAATCCCCATCAGGATTTGAGCAAGCTAGCCAAACACTACGGTCCTATCATGCATTTGCGATTCGGCTTCCTTGACACCATCGTGGCTTCATCTCCTCATGCTGCACAGCTCTTCCTCAAGACTCATGACCTTGTGTTTGCAAGCAGACCACCTATTGAGGCAGCTAAGTATATATCTTATAATCAAAAGAATATGTGTTTTAGCCCATATGGTCCTTACTGGCGCAACATGCGCAAATTGTGTACATTACAGTTGCTTAGTAATCACAAGATCAATTCATTTCAAGCCACGAGAAGAGAAGAATTGCGTTATCTTATCGACTCACTCAAGCAATCAGCTCTGGATCGTGTGGCTGTTGATCTAAGTGCTAAAGTTTCTGACTTGAGTGCAGACATGAGTTGCAGGATGGTGGTTGGGAAGAAGTACGAGAATAAGGACATTGATGCCAGGGGTTTCAAAGGTGTGATTAACGAACTTATGCAGCTATCAGCTATACCAAATCTTGGGGATTATTTTCCTTATCTTGGTAAGCTTGACTTTCAAGGATTAACTAGACGAATGAAGGTCCTCGCCAAAGTCATTGATCGGTTCCTTGAGAGGATCCTTGATGAGCATGAACAGAGTGGAAGCAGTGATAAGATGACAAAGGATTTTGTAGATATCATATTGTCCATCATGAAGTCCGGAGAGACTAAGTTTCAATTCAATCGTGAACATGTCAAATCTGTTTTGATGGTAATCATTCATTCAATATATATATTTTTTCAAGTATAATTATTTTTCTTTAAAAATTAAATATTGAATATTATATGTAGGATATGCTTGCGGGATCAATAGATACTTCATCAAGTGCAATTGAGTGGATTATGACAGAACTCTTGAGACATCCACAAGTATTGAAGAAAGTTCAACACGAATTAGAAAGTAAGGTTGGTTTGGATAGGATGGTGGATGAATCAGATTTGGAGGATCTAAACTATTTAGAAATGGTCATGAAAGAATCCTTTAGACTTCATCCTCCAGGGCCATTACTTATCCCTCATGAGGCAATGGAGGATTCCACCGTTGATGGCTTTCACATACCCAAAAAAGCACGAATCATTATAAATGTTTGGTCAATTGGACATGATCCAAATGTGTGGGTTGATCCTGAGAATTTTATCCCAGAGAGGTTTGAAGGTTGCAATATAGACTATCGCGGGAGCAATTTTGAATTTATTCCTTTTAGCTCTGGTAGAAGAAGCTGTCCTGGTTTACAACTTGGAATTACTGTGGTAAGATTGGTGGTAGCACAACTAGTGCACTGCTTTGATTGGAAACTTCCAAATGGTATGTCACCTGAAGAGTTAGACATGACTGAGGAATTTTCTCTTGTGATGCCTCGTGCCAAGCACTTGATAGCTGTTCCCCACTATCGCTTAAATATTTAAGCGAATGAGTGTTTAAAAAGCTTATTTCTTTACATAAATAATTAAGGAAATACAAAACTTCTTGTAAGGTGGTGAATATCATCTAGTTGTCGAAATTGTTTGTATTTTCGGAGCTGTTTGTAATTGGCATCGCTAGTGAATTGATTTTCGGTGGTGGAATGCTTGTAGTTTGTTTGTATGAATGGATGCAAGTAGTGTTTAAGTTTTCTATGGTGTGGATTGTTGTTTGTAATGTTTTTTCTGATAATAGTCGGATTGCATAATATGTGTGTGCATCGATTTTTGAGTATGTGTCCAGCATGGTAACAGTGACAATTGTGTATTTCATTGCGGTGGTGATGATTCTAAGGGTTGTTGGTTGTTGTTATGAATGTATGTTTTCATTTTGGTGACATTAGGCTGGGTGAAATTGTGCATGCCGTGAGTTTGTTTGTGCATTAGACTGCTAGTTATGGTGCATTGTGGGTTGTGTGTTGAGGTTGGATTCCATTAGTCTTGTTTGTACAATGGTGTGGTAGTCATACTGCATCGATCGTAGGTACGTTTGTGTGAAGTGCAATGGTGGTTATTCTTTCCGCGTCTTCATGATTTGGTGGGGTTAGTAGTTGTGATTATAGGGTGCAACCATATGCAGTAGGCGGTGTTTTGGTGAAAACAACTTGCATTAACAATTAAATCAGATGAGAAATACAGGCGGGTGGAACAGACTTTCATGACCCTAGGACAGACATAGACACAGTCGCCTTAGCTAACACATGAGCGACATGGTTTGCTGATCTTTTGACATGGCGAATGACTACATCCCCTATGTCCCTAGCAATCCAATGGAATTGCTTCACAATTATATATACCAGCATAAGAATTGTGTAACACAAACGAAGTAAAAGCGGAACAGAAATTAAGACAATCAAACTCAATGATGAGATTATTAAAATGACATGATTTTAACCATAGAAGGGCCTCCTTCACTGCTAGCGCCTCCGCAAGGTACGGATCTCGCTCGCACTCTAACCGCCCACCACAAGCTGCCACGAAGTTGCCTTGGTGGTTCCGCACAACCGCTCCAAAACCAACTCCATTCGAACCAGCTGCGGCATCAATGTTGCATTTTAGCATCTCTGCCGGTGGTGGCTGCCAAAACGCAGTGGTAGCGTCGCTCATCCTGCCATCACTGGGAAGAGATAACTCCTCCGTCCACAATGTGCTTAAAGTAGTAATCTGCCGCCGCATGTCCTTGACGTTCAACTGCTCACCCCGCCATACCACCTTGTTTCTCGTCGTCCACAGCACCCAAACTCTCGCGGCTAGATGTCTAGTTTCCTTGGCACTAGATTCGTGAAGCATCATATTCATAAGCCTCGCAAAACTCTCGACTAGTAAAACAGCTCCATCACTCCGTAGTTGCGAAGCTGTTATATCCCTAAGGACAGTGATATTATTAAAAAAAAAAAAAAAATAGGCTGAGAAAGGACTACATGTGGCTTTGTGGGATTTAATCCGGAATAGCTGCTGCTGTGCTGGATTTTCTGCTATGCTGGAGGGTGATCCGCAAGTGTAGGAGTTGGTTAAATTTGTTTTGTCGTTATTTTAAGCTTATATTCCAATGTTTGTATTCAGACCATTATGTTGAGTGAATTTGATGTTTGTTTTCCCTTCATTTCTTCTGAAGTTCTCCCATTTCTTCTCTATTTTTCTTCCCTTTCTTTCTGTTTTTTCCCTCATTTCTTACTAAGGTACTGGAGGCAATCTTGTTTATTCAAAAAGGAAAGCAGAAGCATAACAAGTGGTATCAGAGCTTACGTTCCTTGGCAAGTTAGGAGCTGAAATCCACCATGGGATTTGTCAGCTTGTATGTTAAGGATAAAATTGATTATTGGATGGAAGGATACATAAATGACCGTAGAGGGAGGGTGAATTGGGAAGATTTCTCTGTTGATGTTTGCAAGAGGTTTGGGATGTCTGTTGGGGTTAGTGTGGAAGAGGAATTTACTCTACTTAGGCAAATCACCATTGTGTTGGCTTATACACAGATGTTTGAGGAGTTGAGAGTGCAAGTGTTGAGGTTACATCCTTATACAACTAAATCCTTTTTCATTGCTAAATACATCACTAGTCTTAAAAGGAACCTCAGGTGTTTTGTCAAGCTTGCTGACCCTACAACATTACTAAGAGCCTATGAATGTGCCCGATTGTATGAAGAAGCACTGTCTGCTAATGATTCCTCGTTGAGGCAAACCTATGTGAGCAAAAATATAGTGGCTAAACCAGTAGAGACCCAAAAAACTGGAGTATTGATCACTGATCTTAGCAAACCCTCTATGAATAATAATAATAATGGTGGTGGTGGTGGTGGTGGTGGTGGTGGTGGTGGTGGTGGTGGTGGTGGTGGTGGTGGTGATGGTGATGGTGATGATGATGATGATGATGATGATGATGATGATGATAATATGGAGATGAATAGACTCCGGGAACAGGGTTTATGTTTCCATTGCAGAGAAAGATGGCAACCAGGTCACAAATGTAGAGAAAGAGCTCTAAATTGTATAAATGGAGTCTCAGATAATGTGAATGAATTGGAAGAGGATGAAGAAAGGGAAATGGATCAACCAGTAGCGGAAGACATTCCAATGGAAAATTTTGAAGTCTCCTTCAATGCAATCCTTAGTGATAGTGGCATGAACACTGTTAAGTTGCAAGGAGTGTTGGGAAAAAGAAGATTTGTCATCTTGGTAGATAGTGGAAGCACCCATTGTTTCATTAATCCCCAGTTGGTTCAATATAAAAGGGTAAAGCAATTACAAGAGGCTGGGTTAGAAGTCACAGTTGCTAATGGAGAAAAAATTAAATGTGATTTGAGTTGTCCTCAATTCCAGTGGAATATGTAGGGAAATCTATTTGAAAACAATGTTTATCTGCTTAAGCTTGGAAGTTGTGATATGGTTTTGGGAATGGACTGGATCCACAAACACTCTCTTATCCTCTTAGAAACGAAGCCAAACAGCATCACCATTAATCACAAGGGGGATAAAATTAAAATTATGGGATTAAGCACTAGAAAACCGTGGCAAGAAGTGGAATCTGCAGAAATGTGTAAGGTCATACAGCAAGGGGGAATGGGACTCATAGTGCAGTGTTGTGGAGTACAAGCTGTGGAAGCTCTTATTGAGATTGAACCTAAAATCTCAGAAGTATTACAACAATTCAGTGATGTTTTTGCGGAACCAACAAAGCTACCACCTTGCAGATTGCATGATCATACTATACCTTTAATTCCTAATGCACAACCAGTGAACCAAAGACCCTATAGGTACTCCCATGAGCAAAAGGATGTGATAGAAGGATTGGTTACTGAAATGCTTGACAAGGGAATCATTACTCCTAGTCAGTCTAGCTTTGCTTCTCCTGTAGTAGTGGTCCCAAAGAAAGATGGAGGATGGAGATTTTGTGTTGACTACAGGGCACTTAATGCTCTCACCATTAAGAACAAATACCCTATCCCTATTGTTGAAGAGTTGTTTTCTGAGTTAAGTGGGGCTTGCTACTTCACCAAAATTGACCTAAGGGCAGGTTATCATCAAATAAAAATGAAGGCAGGAGAGGAGTATAAGACAGCATTCAGGACACACATTGGATTATATGAATTTAAGGTTATGCCATTCGGGCTAACAAATGCCCCAGCCAGATTTCAAAATTTAATGAATGATGTCTTTCAACCATACCTGAGGAAATTTGTCTTAGTCTTCTTTGATGATATACTGGTTTATAGTCCCAAAATGAAACAACATGTAGACCACCTGTCTTCTATACTACATCTACTAAGAGCTAATTCCCTTTATGCCAAAAAGAGTAAGTGTTTCTTTGGATTAAAACAGCTTGAGTATTTGGGGCACATCATCTCTTGGGAAGGTGTTAAAACTGATCCAACCAAGGTGACTGCAGTTCAAGAGTGGCCTACACCCTCTTCATTAAAGGAGTTAAGGGGATTCCTTGGCTTAACCGGGTATTATAGGAGGTTCATTAGAAATTATGGTCTTATTAGCAGGCCACTCACTCATGTCTTGAAAAAAGAAGGACAACAAAAAGGAGGATTTAAATGGAATTCAGAAGCAGAGGATGCCTTCCAGCAATTGAAAGATGTTTTGAGTAATGCTCATGTATTATATCTCCCTGATTTTCAGAAGCCTTTTAACATTGAAACTGATGCCAGCAGTGTGGGAATTGGAGATGTTCTTATGCAAGAGGGAAGGCCTTTGGCTTACTACAGTAAAGGGCTAGGTCCCAGGCATGTTGGATTGTCTGCTTATGAGAAGGAATATCTCTACATCATTAATGATGTTGATAAGTGGAGGCAATACTTGCAAAACAAGCACTTCATTATTAGGACAGATCAACAAAGCCTTAAATATCTCATGGAGTAGAGGATTACCACAACAATTCAATAGAGGGGATTAAATAAATTACTAGGCTTGGATTATGAGATCCAATACAAAAAGGGAACTGAAAATAGAGCAGCAGATGCTCTTTCTAGAAGGCATGAAGAAGAAGGGTCTGTTATGGCCATTACAGTGGTAATTCCGGCTTGGCAAGAGGAAATTCTCAAAAGTTATACTCAAGATAGTTGGGTTGCAGATAAGTTGGCTGCTGTACAGTTAGATCCTGTGTCTCAACCACTATTTAGTCAAGATAAAGGAATCCTCAGGTACAAAGGGAGGTTATATGTGGGCACTGTTGGGGGCCTTAGACAGAAAATTTTGGAAGCAGTCCATGATTCAGCTTTGGGAGGACACTCTGGATCCTTGGGAACATACCAGAAAGCTAAAGTATCATTCTATTGGCCACACATGAAACAAGATATTACTCAGTATGTCCAAGAGTGTGACACATGCCAAAGGAACAAAACAGAAAATGTCCATAGCCCAGAATTATTGCAGCCACTCAGTGTACCATATCATGCTTGGGTTCATATCACAATGGACTTCATTGAGGGCCTTCCAAAATCTTATTCGAAAGATGTTATCATGGTGGTAGTTGACAGGTTCAACAAATATGCTCATGTCCTACCCTTGGCCCATCCTTTTATTGCAAAAGAAGTGGCAATTCTCTTCTTTGACAATATATATAAACTCCATGGTTTACCTCAAAGCATAATTAGTGATAGAGATAAAGTCTTCACCAACAATTTTTGGCAAGAATTATTCAGGAAGCTGAAT